AAGGGAATGGATTTTCCCCTCAAAGCCTCCAGAAGGAACCAGCCCTGCCAACAGCCTGACTTGATCCCAGTGAGACTGATTTTTGGATTTCTGACCCCTGAATCTAGAAGAGAATACATTATGTTGTTTTCAGCCCTGAGTTTGCTGCGGTTGGTTATAGCAGCAACAGGAAACTGATACAGTCTACTTTCGCAGCCATTCGCTTGAGTGTAAGGGGAGAGTCAGGACTCAGTATACATTTGGGATTGTTTACTGACTGGTTTCAGGGTGGAGCTGACAGGCATGGACTGTCCTCCAGAAGACAGGTGGGGGTGGAGTGCGTGAAAGGGATATAAGCAAGACTCTGGTCTGCAGATGAAGAAGCAGCAGCAGATGGTCCAGCCAGCAGGTGCAAAAGAGAGGACCGGTTCCAACACCAGGTCTTATGGTGAGTTTACACAGATAAGGCTCTCCGAATGTTAATGGCAGGCTGGGCTGTAAATGTTGTTAGGAATTGGTTCCAGTTTTGTTAAAACCTAAACTAATAATGGAGAAGAGAATTTCCACCAGGGTTTTGGTCTGGGTGGTATTTCTGTGTTTGTGTGTGTGTGGTGGGGGGGTTACTGGACGAAGGGTAGATAGGATGGAGGGATCTGCCTGCTGGTGGACACCCTAAATGCTGAATTCTGGGGAAACGGATGAGTCGGAAGATATCCTATAAGACTGGGTATCTTCCCGGAGAGGTTGGTGAGAGGAAACATGGGCATCCCACTGAGGCAGGTGGATATGGCTGAATAGTTTGTCGGCAGATTATTTAATATGACAATTTAGTTACATTCATACTTACATATAGGGAAAGAAAGGAAATAAAAACTTTCTGCATAAGTCAAAAAAGATGCTTCAGGGTTGCTTAGCTGGCTCACTTGGTAAGAGCATACGACTCTTGATCTAGGTTGTGAGTTCAAACCCCATGCTGGGTGTAGAGCTTACTTAAGAAAATAAAATAAGGGGCGCCCGGGTGGCTCAGTGGGTTAAATCCTCTGCCTTTGGCTCCAGTCGTGATCCCAGGATCCTGGGATCGAGGCCTGCATCGGGCTTTCTGCTCAGCAGGGAGCCTGCTTCCCCCGGCCCCCCGCCCTCTCTCTCCCTGCCTCTCTGCCTACTTGTGATCTCTCTCTCTTTGTCAAATAAATAAATTTTTTAAAAATCTAAAAAAAATAAAAGATACGCAAAAAAAAAAAGATGCTTCAGGGTTTGCATATTTTGGCTTTAGTACAACCTGTGGGCTCTCAGTTCAGCTCTATTCATTCTTCTTGTGCATGTAATTCTAAGATGTGTAGTCAACTGATTTCTGACCAAACTGGTAAAAACCAGTACACAAAAAGGCAGGAGATGAGCACAGGCAAACAGATGACCCTAAGAGGAAACAATTGGCAGCCCGTGTGACCAGTACCTGCAAAAATTAAACAGAGACACACGGGTACCTCCAGACACTCGTGCTGCCCAGCGCGGCTCCGGCCTGGCAATCTCCATGCAGTCCTCCAACAAAAGGGTTAACTCCTGGCAAAGCACGGGGCTTCCAGACCTGCCAAGGCACCAAGTCTCACTTCTGTCCTGATTGGTCACTCCCTGGCCTTCTCAATGTTAATAATTAGAATACCTCTCAGGAACATCAATGTATATTGCTTTAATAACTAAGCTAGCCAATTCCCCCCCTCAACATCTAAGAAATCAAAAAATATAACAGGGGTTGTTTCATGTAGGGAGAACAGTCTTATATAGTTATAGGCCCAGCAGACATTTAATAGGTGACGATGCAGGATAATTGATTTTCCTCTCAGTGAGCCTCAGTCATTAGGAAAAGTTTAATTATGTTTAGCTTAATCTGTTTAAGAAAACAGGCATGAGTGTGATACATCTGAGAAGTTTTAATCCAAAAGAGACTGTGCGTTGGTACTTATGTAGAACGGAGCCTTTAACCAGCTAGAAAGTTCACTTGTTGAGCATGACTCATTCTTTAGGATTCCTGAGCTAGCTCTCCTGAATGAAACGAAATGATGGCCCATCTGTATTACTATAACCAGAATGTGCATATTCTTGGGTAGACAGACCCATTCTTCTAGGCTAGTCTTATGCAAACCTGAGCATTGGCTTACCTGGGCTGACTTGACCACCCCTCCCTGCTCACCAGGGTTGACCTTGTTGCTCTGCTCACCTGGGTTGACCACCCCTCCCAGCTCACCTGGGCTGATGGCGCTTCCCTGTTTACCTGGGCTGATCACACATCCTTGCCTCTTCCTTTCCTTTGCCTCCGTGGGCCTCCGTCATGGCACTGTGGTGGCACTGAGGAAGAACAAAGCTCCCTTCTCATTTTTGACATGGTATTACTTTGAAAATGGCATACTTGTCAGTTAATCTCAGCCAGTCCCTCAAGCCATAGGGCTAGAAAAACAGGAGTTTAGAATTAGACACAGCCTTGATGAGCCAGAGATGTGGTCTGATGACGGCAGAAGCGAGTTCAGAGTCGAATGTGACACCCTAAAAAAACAAGTTAAAATGAAACAAAAACCCGAACCAAAACAAGCAGCGTGCTCCGCAAATACAAGGAGGAAACTGCTGTTCAAAGTGAATGGAAAATTTTGTGGTTGAAGAAGACAGTGCCCCAGGGGCGCCTCGGTGGCTCAGTGGGTTAAAGGCTCTGCCTTTTGCTCAGGTCATGATCCCAGGATCCTGGGATCGAGCCCCACATCAGGCTCTCTGTTCGGCGGGGAGCCCGCTTCCCCGCCTCTCTGCCTGCCTCTCTGCCTGCTTGTGATCTCCGTCTGTCAAGTAAATAAATAAAATCTAAAGAGAAAAAAATGTCTAAAATAAAAAAAGAAGCCAGTGAGTTAGAGCGTAGGCAATGAAAGGGACCCTGCTTGACTATGTTGACGATGTCATTGGAGTCTGCCACCGAGAAGAGGGAGGGACCCTCTTTCTCTAGTAAGATGCCCTCATTGGCAGGTGGCTCCCGGCTGGTCCGACCACTCGATTACTCACTCTAACCGCCTGTTGTCCACGTTAGCCAGCGGCACAGATTCCCAGCCCGCCCCGGTTCTTGCCTGAGCCAAGGATTTGGAGGAGGATGGCTGCTTGGCGAGGCTGCTAAAAGGACAGACTCACATGTGCTTACTGAAGGCCTCCGTGGGGCAACAAAAGGGCCGGGGCTCCCTGGGCATCCCCAAAGCTCTGAGTGCAGGACAGGGGAACCCGTGGGAAACGGAGTCATGGGGAGTAACCCACGCCCTCCAATTCCCTGGCAGCGGCTGTGGACACCTGCTCCCCGAGCCCTCCTTGCTGTGAGGATGGGTCCTGTCTCCTCACACTGCCCCGGGCGCCCCACTCCCTCCCTCTCTCTGCGGGCTGCCCCTACCCCTCACTCAGCCTCCCGTTCCCTTCTGCCTCCCTGCTCTGGCTCTTCACCACCAGCCACCAGCCAGCTGTGACTTTCAGGCCCCCTCGCGCTCCCTCTTTCCCCGAGCCCCACCTCAGATTCCCAAGAAAAAACGCTTAGATGCCTGGTTCGTGTTTCCCTGCCTGCTGGATGTCAGGGGTCCCTGGCCCTGGGGAAGGTCCCCGGCATCCTTGCTGTCCTCAGGAGAAGTGGGGTCTCGCCCAGGGCTGGAGCCCAGCAGGCAGGACGTGACTCACTTTGCAAAGGCCAGAGAGCAAGCTTCTAATTTCTGAAAACGTGTAAGAGAGTTCCAGCAGGCGGGGAATGAGTCCTTTATTTTCCCTCCAGCCCCCTCACTAACGGGCTGGCTTCCTTTCTTCGTAAAGTGAGGGATCTGAGTAGAGGGTGCTGCCAGTGGCCACGCACAAGGAGGGAGGTCCTCTCGTGAACGCTTATTCAAGGTGGGGAAACTGAGGCATAGAGGGGGTGAGTAACTTGCGCGGAGTCCCACACAGCTCGTCAGTGGCAGAGAGGGGATCAGAAGAACGCTTGCTCTTGGCCAGAATCCTTTCACGCTGGCACGGAGTGGGTCCAGCATCCTCTGGGCTCCAGGGAGGGGGCGTGTGATGAGCTTGGGGTAGGGGATGGGGTAGCGCTAGTCTCCAGAACAGGATGTCCTCTGTGTCCGGGCAGAGCCCCATGCGCCCTGGGGGATGCTGCCTGCCCTGTGCCTTTGCCCTCTCGGAAGGGCATGGGAAATGCTGACCTGTCAGCAGGTATAAACTCAAAAGTTTCTCCCTCAGCGGGTTTCAAGGACTGTTTACCCAAGGAGACACGGAAGGATTAGGCACACCGCCCATCCAACCCGTCTGGGTGTGACCGGGCCCATGGCAGCTGTCAGAACAAAGGCTTCCCCTGGAGAAACAGGGTGCCCACACGGGCTCCATGGCCCCGAGGGACGCCTTGGGATGTGAGTCCCGAGCTGGGGCTCCAGGGTCCACAGGCGATTCAAGAGCGAGGCCAAGAACAAGGGCCTCCAGGTGGAACTCTCTGGTCCATGCCCAAGCCTGGGAGGTGGGGGGCAGGCAGGCCATTTCCCAGGACAGCTGGCCGAGGCAGCCCAGGTCTGCAGGGGCAGCCCCTGGGCACTGCTGAGATGGGCAAGAGATGCCAAGCCGAATCTGGCTAGGGCTTTCAGGGGACGGCCCTCACCCATTCCCAGAGTCCCTGCTTGCTGGGATCAAGGGCACAGGAAATGTCATTGTCCCAGGAAATCCTTCCCACCCTGCCTCTCTCTGCCTTGGGCCTTTCCCCTGTCCTGTGGCCACTCATCTACAAAGGGTGCACTGTGTGGTCCTTCAAGGGAGTTTTCATAAGTTAGGACGTGGAACAACCCCAAGCGTGGGCTCAGGACACGTGGCGATGACACCAGCGGGCCTGGGCGAGCGCGCGTCACCTGGCCCGTCACCAGAGTCACAAGGACCATTGTGGGAAGGTGTTATTGTTTCAGTGGGCGCAGCGGAGGGTGGGTCAGTCAGCAAGACTGGGTAAATTGTTATTTACAGTTTCTGAGCTTTTAAAAGAAGAGCGCCCCAGGATCAGCGCGATTCCAGACCCGTGGCACCATGACGGCTCTGGTAGCTCTGCTGGCTCTGCTCCTCCTGGGGGCCCAGGCCCAGCACGGGTCTGAGTGGACCTACTCAGGTAAGCGCCCCCCCGCCCCCCCCCGGGTTTGTGCCTTTCCTTGTCACCCTCAACCCTGCGGAAGCTGCCCTACCCACCTACGGAGAGCAGGAGACTGTGTGGAACTCAGACCTCTGATCGGGGACAAAGGGAGTTTGCTCTCGTTTCCTGGACAACCAGGTCTTGGTGGGGGGTGCCCAAGATTCCCCTGCAGGTGTTTTTGCCTTAGAACCTTTCCTGGCCATGCTCCTGGTTGGAGAGCCTGCTTGCTGCCTCTGACTGCGAAGCCCTCTGCTTTCTCGGGCTCTGCAGTGGAGGAGGAAGTTGCTAGAACAGGCTCCCTGCCATCTCGCAGAGGGCGTGCGGATTTGTGGAGCTTTCTTCTTGGAGAGTTCATGGTCTGAAGTTTACCCAGAACATCCTGACTTCCTGAGAACCCAGCACCTTTGCACGGCTCCCGGGGCTGCCACCTCCCAGTAGCCATGACCTTGCTAAGGTCCAGATCTGCACATCTGGACCCGAGTCACCCCCTCCCATGGGGTGGTGAAGAGAGCTCCCGCCCTGCCCCCCTTTCCCTACACTGCACCCAGGGATCGGGTTCTGGAGGACTCTCAGGGCTGCTGACTGACTTACTCTCCCCACGGTGCCCCCACCAGCTTTGGACCCCAAGGGAAGCATATATTCATGGTGGATGCGTGTCTTGTTGAGTCAAGGGCAGCAGAATTAGGGACATCATGGGTGGCTCAGAGAGTCTGGCGTCAGAGGGCAGGGAGATCAGCTGTGGTCTATGGGTCCGCTCTGGAGCAGAGGAGGCCACACGTAGCCAGAGCCGTGGAGGCCCTGGGGTTCTGCTTCGTGTGGCTCGTTGGTACTAAGGGTGGTTCAGAAGGCTAAGCCAGAGAGAGAATTCCAACAGGCAGGTCTTGTCCTTCCCAGGCTCAGCCCAGCCTGTGAGACCGCAGGCCTTCCTGAAAGCCGTCAGGGGCCCAGCAACACTTGGGAGGCTACTTCAAAGGCCTTTTAGGAATCCTCGAGAAATCTGCAACACGGCTACCGGACACAGGCTAAAGCCTCTTGATCCCTGCAGGCGCTGTGTTCGGGGCCACTGGCCTCGATACTGGCATCCCACCTCTGGGAAAGAATTGTTTAAATACTGGTTTGTGGCATTAAATCAAGAAGAGCAGAGAAATAAAAAAAATTGACTTTTCTGTTGATTGTAAAACCAAGTAGCTGTGAGGGACCCCAAAACAAACACCTTCCTTAAAACAAGCCAGGCATTAGCCATACCACTACTCCCTAACGGCGGGAGAGCTTGGATTCCCGACTGCAAAGGTGTGGGCCCATTATAGCAACTAGCTTTCTTCCTTTTCTCCCTAGAATTATCACCCACTTTAAAAATGAGACATTTCCTTACTTTGGTTTTTTTCAACTAATCACTTTGGTCATCTTTGAACCTGATGCTTTACCTTCTTGTCCTGAATCTATAGGTGTAGGCAACCGGGGGGTCTCTACCCTACTGAGACCCAGTGCAAGGGGCTGGAGCAAGGAAACAGTGGCGGGGGGAGGCTGCAGAGGGGGAGGGCGCTGCATGATTGTTGGGAGAAGGGAAGGAAAACTGCGCCATTAGAAGGAAATGGGGACAGGACCCCTGAGAGTAATTCAGTAACACCAAGCCCCGAGGAGACTTCTAGTGCATTTATCCCCATTCCAGGGGAAAATCAAGCTACATAAATATAAATATTAAAAAATATAAATATATATATTGCATAAAATATATATAATATAAAAATATAAATCATACAACATATGTTATATATATAATATAGATTTAATAGATTTTATATAATATATACAATATATTTAATATAAACATATATAAAAATATAAACATAAAAATATATTAAAAAGCTATATATTAAAGACCTTTATTGTTTTCCAAACACCAACTGTTCTTGGTGCCAGTGACAACAGGGGAGTTTGGAATCCAGGTCAAGTCCCTGAGACACCAGGTTCCATGGAGCAGATTCTGACTTCTAGGGGTCAGGCTCTGCTTTCTAGAAGGTAGACCTCTGGCGTTGATCCTGGCCTCCCGCTGGGCAGGCCCTGTGGTGAGCTGAGCCCCTCCAACTCTGACCCCCTTGGCTCTCTTCTGTCACAGAGGGGACGCTGGATGAACTGCATTGGCCAAGGGAGTACCCCACCTGCGGCGCGAGGAGACAGTCCCCCATCAACCTGCAGAGGAGAAAAGTTCATTACAACTCCTCCCTGACGGCTCTGAACCTGACAGGCTACGGGGTCCAGGCAGACGAGTTCCACATGATCAACAACGGCCACACAGGTAAGGGGCAGGTGGCAGGACGCTGTCCCCCACCCCCCTCCCCGCACTCAGCCCTAGCAGCAGGTGCCAGATGCCGGAGCAGCCCGCTGGATACTCAGAGTGCAGGCTGGGTGCTGCAGGCCAAAGACGGTGGTGGTCCCCACTCCAAGCTGTGCACGGTATGGTGGGGGGGATGGTGCTCAGTCTTTGGCCTCAATTCCTGGCTGGATCCTTCCTTCTGCAGGCTGACCTTTCCCCCAGCTCACTCCGACCCCGCCCTGGGAAATCCAGCCCACAGAGTCTGTGCCGCCAATGCCAGGGACCAGCCTGCCCTCACCAGGGACCCGCCTGCCCTCGGGGATCTGTGCCCTCGTCTGATTTTTTCCATATTTTCTGCATTGAGTCTGATTGGCTCAAAATGCCTGACAGGAGGGCCCAGGATTTCTCAAAGGTCTTATTTATTTTTCTAGAGATAGATTTATTTATTTATCAGAGAAGGCGAGAACACAAGCAGGGGGATTGGGAGAGGGAGAAGCAGGCTCCCTGATGAGCAGGGAGCCTGATCTGGATCCCAAGACTCTGGGATTGTGACCTGAGCCAAAGGAAGATGCTTAATCGACTGAGCCACCCAGGCATCCTTCAAAGGTTTTAAAAAGAGACTCTTGGGGTCTTGAATGGGTCCTCTTCTAGGGAGGAGGTAGAGGTCAGACAGGAAAAGGTTGACTTGGGTCTTGTAGACCACCCCCAGTTCAGAAGCCTGGATTGGACAACTGGAAAATCCTTGCTTTGTGTTTACTGAACATACTTTTGATTTTCCAAGTGGGCCCCTTTCCTCTGAGCCTCATGATACCCCCACCCCTGGCAGGGGTCATTGTTAAGGCTGGAGATGAGGACGTTGGGAGGCCGAAGGACTTAAGGTCACCTGGTCTCTGGCGGCTGAGCTGGACCCAGGCCATTCCCTGCCCCTCGATGTCTGATTCCTCGACCAGTCCTCCTCCTCCTCCTCCTCCTCCTTGGACACCCCCCTCCTCACTTCCTCCTGGGCTAGGCCGACTTACTGCCCACCCGCATAGGTGCCTGGGGTCACAGGATTTAGATCTCCTATTTGCACAATTGAGAAGATAAAAGCAGTTGCCCTTGATGGGGTTGGTAGACCCAGGAGAGTGAAGAGCCGTAAAAGCCCTCAGGCACATGTGGCCTGGATCCCTGAACTCCACAAATAATTCATGAAAGCCTGATTTTATCTTTAATGTCAAGCTCCTACTTCCAAAGTTTCTCTCTGAAGCCTCCAGCAAATTGTCAGGTTGCAAACCCCTTCCCCCGTTTTTTTGGTTCAATAAACATTTATTTTGGTTCACACCAACATGAACATTAATAATTACAGTAATGGTTGGGCCAGATTAGGGGAACCTTAAGTCTCGTGGTTCTTCCAAGAGGATAATTAGACCCGCAGTTTTCAGTATTTGAAATCTAAGAATTTGACCTCAGGCTTTTTCTTAAGGACTCCTTTTCTTTGTTAAAACAGTAATAATTAAATACATTGTCAATCGCTGAAATTGCCCTTCTTCCAGTCCTTGCCCTCGATGAAGAGGGGCTACAGGTAGCAACTGAAGGCAGGGGGGAAGCTGGGTTGACCCCACCAGCACAGGCAGCCAGAAGTATCGAACAATTGAAAACCCCCACTGGTAACATGGACCGTTTCCGTTGCACACCTGCCGGGTAGGGCTTTGTGTTGAGAACTCAGAAGAGGGGATGTGTTAGGAAGGTCCTAGCTTCCCGGGGTGGGGGTGGGCTCCCAGCGGCTCCCTCCTCCCAGTTTGGAGAAGGCCCTGGACCTTCCTCCTATGGGCTGTACTGGGCTCTCTAGAGGCTGGAAGCCTGTAGGGTCCCCAGTCTACCCCACATCATGTCAAACCTATGAGAAAGCACGCAAACAGCTCCCATTACTTATGTTTTTTGATGTCAAGTATTTTGAAAGATTTTTAGAATTCTTTACAATTGGCTTTACATTGTCAGCAAGCTCCAAGCTTCAAGATTTCTCCTGAAGGAAAAAGGCAACAACACCCCACTCAACCGATTTTCAAATCTGATAACATTTTGATGAGTAAGTTTAACAAGAAAGTTGATATGATATAATTAAACATTTATTACTTTTGACTTTGATTAAATATTTATTACCTTTTAGATCTTGGAACCTAATATATATATATGTATATATATACACACACTTATACATGTATATATGTACATTATATGGATTTATATATATGTGTTTTTAATTGACTTCATTTTTTTTGAGCAGTCTTAGGTGCATAGCAAAATTAAGAGGAAAATGCAGAGACTTCTCATATACACTCTGCCCCCATATACACTGTCCCCCCATTATCCATATTACTAACCAGAATGGTATTTTTTTTAAAGATTTTATTTATTTATTTATTTATTTATTTATTTAGAGAGTGAGCAGAGGGAGGGGCAGAGAGAGGGAGAAAGAATCTCAAGCAGACTCAGGGCTGAGCACGGAGCCCCACACGGGGCTCCATCCCACAACCCCAAGATCATGACCAGAGCCGAAATCAAGAGTCAGTTGCTTAACCAACTGAGCTACACAGGTCCCCCAGAAAAATACTTTTTTTTTTTTTTTTTAATCAAGGATGACTCTACCTCAACATAGCATAATTTGGTCCAGAGTTTGCCTTAGGGGTCGTTCTTGTCTTACACATTCTATGGGTTTGAGCCAATGTAGAATGACAGTATTCATTGTTACAGAATCATACACAGTGTTTTCATGGCCCTAATTATCCCCTGTGCTCTGCCTGTTCATCTCCCCCTCTACCCCAGCAGCCACAGACCCTTTGATGGTCTCTGTAGTTTTGACTTTTCCAGAATGTCACAGAGTTGGAATCACACAGGCCACCTGGCCTTCTCAGATTGGCTTCTTTCACTTAGTAACGCATTTAAGGTTCCTCCATGTCTCTTCATGGCTTGATAGCTGATTTCTTTCTTTCTTTCTTTCTTTTTTTAAGATTATTTATTTATTTATTTGACAGAGAGAGAGAGATCACAAGTAGGCAGAGAGACAGGCAGAGAGAGAGGGGAAGCAGGTTCCCCACTGAGCAGAGAGCCCGATGTGGGCCTCGATTCCAGGACCCTGGGATCATGACCTGAGCTGAAGGCAGAGGCTTAACCGACTGAGCCACCCAGTCACCCAATAGCTCGTTTCTTTTTAGCATTGAATAATTTTCCGTTGTCTGGATAGACCACAGTTTATCCATTCACCTACTGAATGGGCATCTTGGCTACTTTCAAGTTCACCATTCAGCAATTACAAATAAAGCTGTCATAGACATCCATGTGCAGAGTTTGGTTTTACCATTGAGTAAAGACCAAGGAATGTGATGGTACGGCTGTGTTTAGCTTTGTCTTCCAAAGTGACTGTACCATGTTGCACCCCTACCAGCCCTGAGTGAGTTCCTGCCCTCCACATCCTCCCAGCATTTGCTGTCGTCAGTGTTCTGGATTTGGGCTGCTCTGATAAGTGCGTGGTGTATCACTATTGTTCATTTGTATTTCCCTGATGACGTACAACGTGAAGTCTCCCTTCACCTGCTTACTTGCCACCTGTGTGTCTTTGGTGAGGTGTTTGCTAAGGTTTCCGGCCCATTTTTTTAATCAGGTTGGTTGTTTTCTTATTGTTGAGTGTTAAAGGGATCTTTGTATATTTTGGCTAGGAGTCCTTTATCAGATGTGTCTTTTGCAAATATCTTCTCCTAGTCTGAAGCTTATCTTCTAAGTCTCCTCATAGTGTCTTTTACAAGATAGAAGCTTTTATTTATTTTTTAAAAGATTTTACTTATTTACTTGAGAAAGAGAGGGAGAGAGAGCACAAGCAGGTGGAGCAGCAGAGGGAGAAACAGACTCATTGCTGAGCAGGGAGCCTGATGTGGGCTCGACCCCAGGGCCCTGCGATCATGACTCTGAGCCGAAGGCAGACGCCTAATGACTGAACCACCCAGGCACCCTTCTTTGATGACTATCAATAGGAAGACGCGGCTAACAGAATAGATGTTGTTTGTCCTTGTCCCAGACCTAAATTGTGTATATCCTCATAGATCTTTTCCTTCATCACTCTCTTCTCACTCTCTGGAGCCTCTCTTTTCCCTGGCTCATTCCAGAATGTTCGAATGTCTCTGAGGCTGGAGCTGGTGAAGCAAACAACAGCAGCTAGGTGACCAGAGGGACCTCCCTGGGGCCAATCTGTAGGGCACCGTGAAGGAGGAGGAAGTGGGAAGAGTGGCCCATTTTCCTGTCAGCAAGAACTTAACACTTGAACGCATCCACTGATGAGAACAAGTTAAACCCCAGGCCGGGGGTCTGTGTGTTTCCCGACTTCCTGCAGAATGTGGTCTCTTGTCTTCCAAAGAGAAGTGAAGGCCTGTAATGGTGACATCCTGTCCCCGCCATGACCCATTCTTGGCCCGGTCTGCCCTCTCCCACCCACCGTATGATCTTGTACCTCTGAGCAGGGAAGGCTTTCCCCCTCTCCAGGTTGGCCTCCTCGTCCATAAAAGCACTGAAGCTTACAGGGGTTTTATGAAATGGAGTCGGCTGTTCTTTTATTTATTTATTTATTTATTCATTTATTTATTCATTTATTTGAGAGAGAGAGAGAGCGAGCGCACGAGCCAGGGGAGGGGCAGAGGGAGAAGCAGCTCCCCACTGAGCAAGGAGCTCAGTTGAGCTATTCCTAAAAGGCTACCCAGGATGATGATATTTAACACCTCATCTTGGCTTCACAAACAGTGCTCTGGGAATAAAAGTCGTCACACTAGTCCCAAGAGGTCCCCCAACCCCCCTTCCTATTCCTATGCTGTGGGCAAATCACAAAACTGGTCAGAAGCGGAGAGCAGGATTCTGGTTTCCACAGCCACTGGCCATATTTTCTAGGGCATCCTCCTTCCCTAGGGCTGACAAGCTGGCCTTGCCACCGCCTCCCCCGGTGGTCCTGCCCCTGACCCCCGAGTCTGGGTAGGAGGGTGTGGGCCCTGACGTAGGCGCCTGCCCAGCCGGGCTCTCCCAGCCTGCCCTGTGTGCCGGTCACCCGCTCCCCGTGGGCGACCCTGCTCAGGGCACCCTAAGCCGGCGTGGTCTTGGCTTGCTCCATGAGTGTGCAGGGGAGCGGGGGAGCTGCCTGGCCGGTAGACCGGACCCCCCCGTGCCTGTGTGCACTGGCCGCAGCCCTCTCTCGTCTTCTCTCCCAGTGCAGATCAGCCTGCCCCCGACCATGCGCCTGACGGCCCCAGACGGCACCCAGTACACAGCAGAGCAGATGCATTTCCACTGGGGTGGAGCGTCCTCAGAGATCAGTGGCTCCGAGCACACCATCGACGGCATCCGATTTGTGGCGGAGGTAATCTGGGGACCCCAGCCAGGTCCTCTTTCTTTTTTCCAATCCCACAATCACTTTCCTTATGAAAGCAGCCAAGGAGACTGCATGGTGACGACCATCCAGTCACCCTAAGTTGAGTTTTTTTTTCATTCGTTCACAACCATTTAGTGATCTCTGCTACATGTCAGGGGTTCAAGCAGGGTCCCCGCTCTCACAGAAAGCACAGTGCAAGGCAGGAGTTTACAGCCCACAGCATGGGGCAAGCCCTCTTGGTTTCAGTTGAATGTCTGTGTGTTAGATTTTCAGGGTTCTCTCTCTTGCATAGATCCGTCCTTAAGATGACCATGGTTTACAGTGTCCTCCAGAGCACGGTATCTCATGCCCACTCCTGGGAGACCACAGGAGAACCCAGTGACCTCAGATGAGCCCTCTGGACACTGCCAGCTCATCTGCCTGGAGGGTGGGGTCAGGGAAATGCCCTTGAATTGCCATCTCCCCAGAATCCCACTCATGTTCTTTCCATTGGGGAACTTTCTGGTCTTGATAGATCTCATACCCAGAGGGAAGGAGGTCAGAGTTTTTAGAAGGGACAGGCTGAGGCTCTGGGTAGAGAGCACCTTTCTCTTCGTTCTTCCCTGAACACCTGAAGCACATGAAGTCTGTAGGGACCACCCTTGACTTACCCTTTCTTGCTCCCACAGATTCACATTGTTCACTACAATTCTAAATACGAGAGCTACGACAGAGCGCAGAGTGAACCAGACGGCTTGGCTGTGCTGGCAGCCCTCATTGAGGTAGGCTGAAGTGACACATGTGACATCAGAGACTGGTGTCCAAAGCATCAGGTGTAGACAAAGGGTCTTCCCTTCTCATCTGCTACTGAGCTCACCGTTCTTAAAACAACTCTGACTCAGTGAAGCCCTTGCTCACAGTCACTGTGTTCCCTCTGTGTCCCCAATCTCGGGGACCTTGGATGAGTGGGACAACTGATTTAAAGGAGCTGGGATCACAGCCTGGTTGGCCAAACATAAACTGGCTAGAGGGGAAGGGGAAGCTGGCCACCTGCCAGGTAAATCAACACCTGCTTTTCCACTTTTCTCAGAAGGTCTGGAGGGCAGGACCTGTGGCTAGGTGGCAAGAAATGGTCATGAATTCAGTCTCCCCCAACAAGTGCTAAGTTGGATAAAATGGCCAAAACCAACCATATCTCTGCTCTGGAACTGGACCAAAGTCAAACAACAAAGCAAGGCATTTGTTTCTGAAAAGTGGCTAGAATTTTGAGTTAGAACCGTGGGGCTCTTCCTATCCCCAACCTCCAGCTTGGTCAGCAAGGTCGTTTTCCTGGAGCAGGCTGGACAGGGGACCCAGCAGTCTTACTGCCTGGGGGTGGATGACTCACTTGATTTGGAGGGTGAGTTGAAAGCCCATGCCCCAGGATCTATCAGCAAAGGTAATAGAAAGTGAAAGTTGCGGCTGACCCGCTAACTGGCTGACCTCTGGATGTGCTTTGCAGCTCGTCCAGATCCAGCAGCAGAGGGTGCAAACATGATGGGCTTGAGGCGTATGAACAACAACTTCTGCTAAAATCATTGACTGACCACAAAGCTATGTTGACCATATAGGTGGTTCCTAGAGGGCCCTAGGAATAAGATTTAAGAACAGAGCCAAGACATCAGCTGCTGTGTGTGGCTGGGGAGACCCATCTTGCAGACGAAGCGGAAGAAATTCCTAAACGGATACACAAACAAACAAAAGAATTTTTAAAAAATCAGAAATCATATTTACATGCTATATTACTTAAATGTCCAGTTTTCAAAAAAAAAGTTGGACATGCAAAGAAATAGGAAAATATGATCCACATTTAAGAGAAAAAACTGCAGCCAACAGGTAATGACTGTGAGTGGACTCAGGGACTTATCAGATAGGACTTTCCCAACAACCATCATAAACATGTTCAAGAACTTAAAGGAAATTGTGTTCAAAGAATTAAAGGAAAGTATAATGACAATGACTCAAAAAAGGGAAACAGAAGTGACAAAAATGCACAAGTGGAAAGTCTAGAGTTGAAAAATATAATAAATAAAATGAAAAATTCACGACATGGTCTCAAAGCAGAGGTGAGACAGCAGAAGGAGTCAGTACATTTGGAGATAAATTGAAGAATTTATTCAATTTGAGAAACAAAGGAAAAACACTGAAGAAAAATGAACAAAGCCTTAGAGATTCATGGGAACAAGATCACACAGCCCAACATATACATAGTGGGAATCTGGGAGAGGAGAAAGAAAGTGAAAGAAAAAAAAATGGAAGAAATAATGGTCCCATTTTTCCCCAAATTTGATGGGAAAAAAAATAGTTTACAAACTGGGAAACTGAACAAAGCTCTTGTCTGATCAGAGTCAAACTGTTGAAATCAACAAGACAAAAAGGACTTTTTATAAATAGGATATTGACATACAACTACCAGCCAACTTCTCATTAGAAACAAGTCATCAGAAGGCCATGGAATGTCAACCAGGAATCCTAATCCAACTAACATCCTTCAACAATGAGGCGAAACAAAGGCATTCCCAGACACAGAAAAACTGAGATAATTGCTAACAGATCTGTCTTACAAGAAATATTACCAAAAACCCTTCTGGCTGAAAGGCAATGACATCAAACAGTAACTCAAATCCGCAGAAAGAAACGAAGAATGCTGGAAATGGTAACTATAAAAGACTGTCTACAAATGTTTTTGTCTTGTCTTTAAAAGATTTCTTTTAAAAAACCCATCAGATTGTTGAAAGCAATCATTACACCACTTATTGTTGGGTTTACGATGTAGGTAGATGTAATGTCAATGACAAAAGTGAGGAAAATAGAAAGAAATGGAGCTAGCTTGGAACAAAGTCCCCATATTTTATAGGAATTAAGTTAGTACTAACCTGAGGTAGGCTGTGATAAGTTGTATATTGAACAGTAGTCCCCCCTTGTCCCTGGTTTCACTTTCCCAGGTGATAATTACCCGTGGTCACGTGCAGCCCAGAAGGAGATGTTCCTTCTAGTAATGTTTACTCCAGGAGCCTAACTCTAGGTCACAGCGCCTGCGTCTTTCACCCCTGTGACCTTGTCACGCAGGCATTTGATCAAATGCATCATCCCAAGAAGAGTGAGTGAAGTACAACAAGAGATTTTGGGAGAGACCACGTTCATGTAACTTTTAATTCAGTATATTGTTATCATTGTTCTATTTGATTATTAGTTTATTGTTGTTGGTCTCTTACTGCGTCTAATTCATACAGTAAACTTTACCACAGATATGTATAGGAAAACATGTAGTATTTACAGGGTTTGGCGCTACCCATGGTTTTAGGCATCCACTGCGGGTCCTGGAATGCAATCCCTTCAGATAAGGGGGAACAGCTGTAATCACTAAAACAACCATTAATACTTAAAAATGGTTAAATGGTGCATGGAAGTTATTTGTTTCACACAAAAGGTGGAACAGAGGAACAAAAATCCACGAGGGACCTAGCAAAACAAATAGCGAGTGGCGGTCATAGATCCAAGAAATCGGAATTCATACACAGCGGAAGAAGAATTAGACCAACGCCACCAACTGAAAAGAACCATTGAAATTCACCTTTTTCACCAAAAGTAATTTTTCTGACTTCTGAAGAGTCAACGCTCACACAAAACAGTGGTGACCTGGCAGGGGGCGGAATTGGAGCAGTTTTGGCTTGGACAGAAGGCTGTCCCCGGCTCAGGCAGGAGTCCCGAGGATGAGGAACCAGGCACATGGGACCAAGCCCCCCTCATCACAGGGAACTGGCCTGAGGTGAAGCCCGCCCAAACAGAGTCCCTGGAGGATGGTGACAGTGACTTTGGGCCATGCCCTGAGGGCCTCACCGGTCACCCTTGAGAAGGCTCTTTCCCTGGAAGCTGTCCCAATGATTCCGTCCTGTCTCCCTGGAAGAGACCAGTGAGCCCAGGCAGTTGGTGGCAAAGAATGACCCGACGGTCTGTCCCCACACAGCTGGGGCTCAGACCGGCTGCCTCCTCCCTGCCCCCGGGCTCTGCCCAGTCAGCAGGGACACCAAAGCACGGGATTACCAGACGGAGGTCCCCTTTCCACTCGATGCACTGCTCTGTTTCTCCTCCAGGTCAAGGATCACGGTGAAAACACTTACTACAGCAACTTCATTGCCCACCTGAACAACATCCGGCATCCAGGTGAGGAAAGCCCACAGCGGCGGCAGGAGCGTGTGGCGGGAACAGGGGGCCTGGAAGGGGGACATCGGCAGAGAGGGGGGCACACTGGCCCCGCCAGGGGGCCAGGGCTCTCATTCCAGCGGCTCCTGCTATCGGCTCAGGCTGCAAACACCCTTGAGAAACCTGTTCACAAACCCCATGTGTTGATTCCCACGGTTGGAAGCCAGGGGACCACGGACAGGGGATATCTTCGCTTCACCTCTAGCTCCAGTGAGTAGTGATGACTCTGGGCACTAGAGAGAGAGAGAGAGAGAAAGAGAGAGAGAGAGAGATGTCCTCCTTAGCTTCAGGCTGAGGAAAACCCTCCCATCATTGTGCCTGGACAGGGCTGGTCTCCCCCTCCTCTGCCTCCAGAAGGCAGGATTCATGTCCGAGTGGCCACCGACCCCTACGGCCTGTGACCTGAGCCACAACCACATCAGCTTTGATACCCTGGGCTTGTGCTTCTGACTTTGGCCACCCCTCCCAGACTGCAGGTCCCTGACTTCCAGTCCCGCCCATCCAGGGGGTCCCTTGACCTCCGACCCGTGGGCCTTCTGTTCTCCCCAGTGCATGAGTGGGGGTGGGGGGAGAGGCAGGGGCAGAAGCAGACTTCCCTCTGAGCGTGGAGCCTGACGACTTGGGACTCGATCCTAGGACCCTGGGATCATGACCTGAGCTGAAGGCAGACACTTAACCCATTGTGCCACCCAGGCGCCCCCAACTACTGTTATTTTTATTCATAGCTACAAATATGAGCATGTATTAACACGGCCTGGAAATCCTCAAACACTCATCTGGGCCTTTGCTTCTCCCCGCTCCAGAACGCTTATTTCACGTGTTCTCCCCTCCCTCAAAGCCTCTCTGCCCCCCGCCCCAGCTTCCCCCTTGAGTGGATCGGATGCCTTATTCCCGCTTTATCTAAAAGGCGGTCAGACCCTCACTCATCTTCTTAACCCATCTGCACCGGCCTAGCTCCACGTCCCCTCCTCTGTCGCAGTGGGCGAGAGTCCCTGCTCCCGCCCGAGCCCAGCCCTCCCCTCACGCGCACCAGCCCTCCCTCTTAGGGTCCCTCCACCTGCTCGCCTCTGCTGTCCCGCAGCCCCCATTTCTTACTATTCATCTGCTGCCCCGCTCGGCACACAGATCTGTGCTCTAATACCCCACCAGTCTCTTTTGACCCAGCCAGCCCCTTGCCATCCTCCCCTCTTCCATCCCATTCGATGCGCTCTTGAATGCGTTGCTTTGTGGTCCTGTTCCGTTTTCTCACTCACCCTTTGCTGACCCTGACAGCCACCGTCCCTTTAAGGTCACCCCTGTTAGATCTCCTGGCCACTTCTCTTTTCTCTCGATTGACCTGGAAACAACGATCCATCCCACCTCACTCTCGTTCTGCCCACACTCAAGCTCACCCCCGGCTGCGCTCTCTTTCTGCTCCTGCTCTCATGGTGGGGGGCGCCGGCTCTGTCTTCTCCAGGGGGCCTCATTCCGTCCCGTGGCCTCCATTGCCCTCTCTGCACAGTGGACTCTTAAAATCTGAGGTCCTCCATGCAGTGACAGGATCACGGGGCAGGGGAGGCAAAGCAGACGCAAGAACCAGCTGGTTATTTTGCGGACCCTTAGCAAGGCCAGCAAGAGAAACCACAGGCCTGTGGTTTGAGGCGTTTCCTTGAATGCATGGACCTTAGACCTTCCGTTTCTACGAACTGATCCAGACCCATTTCCTTTTCCAATTCAATAAATGATGCTTCTGATCAATACTGCTCTCCTCACTGGCCTCCCTCTCAACTCTGGATTCCTCTATCCAATAGCTTGCTTGATACTGCCCTGCAGATCTAAAATTTAATATGGCCCGAACCTTCCCTACCACCCATCCCCCAGGCTCGTCCCTAAACCGACTTCCTCATCTCAGCAGAGAGCATCATAAGCCAACCCACTGTTGAAGCCCCATACCCCAGAATCACTGTGTTTTTTTTAACTTAAAAAAAAAATTCTTTTAAAGTAGCCTCCACCCCCAGCATGGGGTTTGAGCTCATGACCCTGAGATCAAGAGTTGCATGTTCTACAAACTGAGCCAGCCAGGTGCCCCTCCCAGAATCATTCTCGATTTTCCGCTTTCCATTATCCCTCACATCCAAACCGTCAGCGCATCTTACTGTTTTCACCTCCCTGCTTTCAGTCCTCTTGTGTGTAAGCCAAGAAGCAGGATTGCTGGGTCATATGGTAATTCTAGGTTTAATTCTTAAAGCTGCCATCACATCGCTTTCCCTGGTGGCTGCACCATGGTCCTGGAATTCTTGACTCACTTAACTATATTACAGGGATGAAGGTAAATCCATGCTCCAGAGCCCTTTGGAAGGTTGTATCTGAAAGCTCTTCCAATAACACTAACATTTAGAATTTTTTTTAGCCTATTCATGGGATTATCCACTACCAGACTCTGACGCCTTGGTTTAACCAGTCTATTTATGTCTACGTAAAAACTGTAACCTCTTTGCCATTAAAAGAATGCAAAGTGCATTTTTGGGAAAGCGAAAAAATTCAACTCAACTCTGTGTTTCTTCGTTGGCATCATGCTGAGCTCAGGAGCTCAGAGTCATGACATGAATGGAAGAGGGATTCTCGAGATGCAGTGATGAGTTCTTGAGCTGGGACTCTCCGGAGACCCTGTGGAAACACTTCTTCCCATGGCCCCCCTTCCCCACGTGAGCCCCCACCCCCGGGGGCTGATCCTGGTTTCTCGGGAACCATGGCGGGAAATGCTCAGGACCAGGTGCCTGAACCCCCACTTGGTTCTGAGTCTGCCTTTCTCATCTCTATCCAGCCATTTCTTTCTTTCTTTTTTTTTTCTTCCTTCCTTCCTTCCTTTTCTTTCTTTTAGATTTATTCATTTGAGAAAGAGAGAGCACAGGAAGGGGGAAGGGCAGAAGGAGAAGCAGACTTCCTGCTGAGCAGGGAGCCTGATGCGGGGCTCCATCCCAGGACCACTGGATCATGACCTGAGACAAAGGCAGATCCTTAACCGACTGAGCCCCCCAGGTGTTTCTCTATCCACCCATTTCTAAGTGAGCCCAAACCAAGGCATTTTGTTCTTTTTTGAGATTTCTTATCCAGAAGCCCTTAGCAGTCATAATTCTCTTCTCTCATTTATCATAAAGCATATCTTCTGCCCAACAGTTGTTGGCTGGTTAACAAGTTGTTAGCTGTTAACTGGTTGACAGGCTCACAAGGACTTTCCAAGCTCAAGTTCAATGACCAGACTTTATAAGCACACCCCTCCCCCTTATCCTCGTAGGAATCCTGTTGAACATTCCCTTGTTGCCTTTGAGGCAACAGCCAGGAGGAGGTATCTGAGTGGGTCTCTCCCCAGAGTCTGTGCTCTTACCCCCTTCTAGGAAGCAGCAGACTGGGGAAATGCTTTGAACGATCAGCCTCTGTGTTCTGATGACTCAGAAGATTCAAACGTGGGGCGGTCTGAGCCTGAGCTGTCCCCCCAAGGGGCATCAGTGGCCCCTCACATTCCTTTATCCTTTGTCCCCTCTGTTAGGACAAAGCACGGTTCTGAGTGGCGTTGACATTCTGGACATGCTCCCCGAGGACGTCCAGCACTACTACAGCTACAGGGGGTCGCTCACCACTCCTCCCTGCACTGAGAACGTCCACTGGTTTGTGCTGGTCCATCACGTGCCGCTCTCCAGCACACAGGTAAGGCCCCCGCACCGCCTCCCCAGGTCCCCTTCTGACTGCCTGGCTGACGAGAGCGCTTCCCTACATCTCACCTTAATGCCAGCACCGGGGCTCCCAGGTGCTTTCCTGCCCCGGGGCTGCTGTGCCTCACCCCTCCTGGCCTGGGTGACCTTACTAGTGCTTGGACAGAGATGGGCAAGTTGAGGCATCAGGGAATCCAGGGAACCCTGGGACCTTGGATGCAGCCAAAGGACTGGGACCTGACCTGGGTCAGAGAAGAAGGGCTGCATTGCGAAGGCAAACATTTGCTGAGCGGATGCTCCCTCCAGGTAGCATTCTTGGTCCTTGAGGGACAGAACCTCTGTCCTCGTGGAGCTTACATTCTAACTTCATAAATGGCTTTACACAAGGACTTACTGACATTGTTAGCTCTTTAATATGCTAGCAGGCCTGCAGTCCTTTGAGGAGAAGAGCTGTGTCAGCCACCTTTGGTTCCCCAGCATAGCATGGGTGCACAGTAAATATTTGTTGCCTTAGGGAAAGGACAAACGTAACTGAAGTTGCAGAGGAAAAGCTGGCATTTCCTTCTGGGTCATGTTCTTCCTCAGGAACGAGTAGATCTTTTTCTTTAAATTTTCATTTCCCCAATGCAGGAAAAGGTGGAAAGAACACTATTCAAAGATACCCACCCACAAATCTATTTGCTTCTTTTTCTCCTTTCTACTGGTGACCAAATAGTCACAGAAAACAATTTAAAGAGATGGTTGGAAGAATGAATGGATGGATGGATGGGTGGGTGGGTAGATGGGTGGGTGGGTGGATGGATGGGTGGATGGGTGGGTGGGTGGATGGATGGGTGGGTGGATCCTCTGTTGCCATGTAGCAGAACTTGAGATCTCATACTCACTTCATCGGGATTATAGAAATAAACCCAATAAACTATGCTCTTTTAAACCACCCAGTACCTCTTCCCCTCCATAATTCACTTCATGTGGCCTGTAGATTTGGAAGCTAGAGAATTCCATAGTGGATCACCACAACAAGACCCTCCACAATCACTACCGGAGGACCCAGCCCCTGAACAACAGAGTGGTGGAAACCAACCTCATGAATTTCCCCCACCTACGTAAGATCAACTCTTATTTATCCTTTGCAATTCTTTGAGTCCTGTTTTCTTCCTTCTCTGGGTGCATGCATCTCTTCTGGCAATAGTAGGGGAGGGACAGTCATCTAAAGGGCAGGAGGCTCAGATGGGTCATTCTGTACAGGGGATGTGTGGGCAAAGGAGGTGGCTCATCTTCTCAGTCCAGGCAGTGATGCCAGTGAGTAGAACAGAGGAGACCACAAGGATGGACAGTTACATGATTTATTACCTACTTGGTCTTGGCCAGAGACACCCAGTAGGAGAGCAAGATGCTTAACAACATCCTGACGCTCCCATAAGAGTGCAGGCAAGCCCATCCCCAACTCCCACACATCCCCTCAAGGTGGGGTTAACTAGAGCATGTATTGTTTACTACATTTTCTTGGGGATCATGCCCCAGACACCAGGGTGCTGGAAGTAGGTATGACCAGTCCAGCCTCCCTGGGACCCTCTAGCCCACTGGGTCAGGCTTCTTGTCTCACCTTATTAATGTGGTTGCAAGAAGGCAAATATTCTGCAATTTCCCCATCTTTATTTTGCCTGTTTCTCTGTAAAATTATGGTGAGCTATACACATTCCCTGAATTCATTGTCTTTACAGTCTGTTTCCACTAAACATTCCTGAGACCTTTACATCCTCGAATATGATAGAATTGATTCCAATCAATATTGCCCGCTCAGTACGACCCCAACTGATTATACATATCTTTCAAAACCTTTAAATCTCCAGACAAGCTCCCCGCCTCCCCATCAACAAAGGCCCATTTGTGATTCTCACCATCCTTCCTTCCTGGTTCATTGATTGTTTTCTCTTGCATTTGTTTCCTCCTCCAACAATACCAACGGAGGAAAAAGGACACCGGTCATAATGATCATTTCCCCGTATTACACTATATACCATATTAACAGTACCGATTCCTTTCTCAAAGGACGACATCCTCTTAACTAGGTCCAAATGCTAGCAGCCTGGCTGAAGGGACACAGACCCCCTGATCTGCCTCCTTGTTCTAATCCTGCCATGTCCCCTTTTCCCTGATGAAATGTCCTATGGCTCTTGCAGTAGACAGGTACAGATTGCATAGTTTCCCCTATGCCGCACCCCAAATGCTCTTTCCACGAGGGGGGGAGTGTCGCTCCAATTCACCCTCAGGAGGGAACACAGATGGTCTAGATATCCGTGTATCCGACCCAGATTCCCCACGCTGCAGTTCGCCTAGGTGTCCTCTGTGCCCACCCTTCTGAGACTCGCCGATTAGGGTTATTACTTCAGCTCCCAGGAGATAATAAGAAGGCCTCTTCCCCCACTCGCAGTCAGGGGACTGGAGCAACAGCCTCCCTTTGCTGCTAAGAGAACGGGGCACCATTTTGCTCCCCCTGCCCTCAGACCCAGACTTCTAGGTAGCAGCGCTGGTCTCCAGCCAGCCCGGTTGTGTCACCCACCTGATGCCTCCTAGTTCCATTGAATCCCACCCCCGATGGGTTAATATGGTCACCAGCAATAAGGAATGACGTGGCAAAGAAGCAAGATTACAAAAGCAAGATAATGGCCAAATATAGATGTCTTGCAATTCATTTATTAGAAAACATGCATGTCGCCTTAAGGTAAGGGCTACTGAGCATCGCATGAGAAACCAAGGTCCAGGGGCAGAACCACCGCTGACGTGTCAGCGCTTGGATTAAGGCAGCTTCCACGCCTAAATTCAGACAGCGGGAAGGTGCTTGAAGCTGGCGGGACAGGACATGGAGGACATTCTAAGGAACCTAAAATCCCCCCCTTTAGTATATGTGTGGGGAATGGTGTCTGGCTGTCCCACAAGGACCACCGAACTTCTGACCTTCCCGCATGAACTCTTCTTTTCATAGCGTATAATCTAGGTCCCGAGTTCCAGCTTTACATAAATAAGCTTGACAATAAGCTCGAATACTTGAGAAGACTTATTGAAAAGAGGAACAACAACGAGAAATCCTAGAGATGGCGAACTTGAAGCGGGAGGTGTGCAGGACAAGAGGGCCCTCCTCTGAGCCCAAGCCCTGCCCGGCTCCTCCCCCACCCCGGCTCTTCCAAGAAATCCGGTGCCGGGATTTGCAGCCTCCCCGAGGCTCCTGTCCCGTTTCTGAGTAAGACTGAGTAAACCACTGTCCCTGAGTGGAAATGAGGTGGTTTAAGGGTCTGAGAAGGGGTTTGTTAGACCACACCAATGGGAATTGATTGGAATAGAAATGTAAAGGAAATGGAGCCCTAAGTAACTTCCTATCGAATCATGCATGTTGATCTGTGTAAATTACAAAGCAGCCCGGACTGCCCTGTGGGATTTAGGTGAAATAAAATGTCTTTGGGAATTGGTCATTTGAAAATTTCTCTTTTCTGTTTCTTTTGTACCACTTCAAATATGCCTTCTTTGCCCTCCCCCCGGGGACACTGGTGATGGGACAGAGATCGAGGTGGGAAGGGTTCTAGGACCAAGTTTAGGAAGAAGGAAAGAGAGTCTTACCTTGGAACTTGGTGGTGGTGAGGTCTGGAGCCTGGGCTAGGCTGGGCGAGCAAAGGAAGAACAGAGGAATAGGACCCCGGACTTGCAGGAGAGATGGGGAGGAGAGGGGAGGAGAGGAGAGAGGACCTCCCTGCACATCTCATCCTCGTGGGTCAGTTGGTGGCTGGGCCTTGTCACTAGAGCCGGGTTCCAGGTCCAGTTCTGCCACTTCCTGTCACAATCGCTCACTGCGATGATCGCCGTGGTTTGAGTACACGGATGCACGTTTCTGACGGAGGCCCTTTCTCGCCACTCCCTCTTCGCTTCTCCCATCTCTGGCCCAGCCCCCCCCACCATGTTCTTCCCAGTTCCTTTGTCTGCTCTTTACTGGCTTTGTTCCCCCACGCTGTCATCCATCACCTCTGACTTCATTCACCGCTCCAGGCCGTCCTCAGAGAAGCTGTGTTTTCCCCAGTTTATTGAAACAGAAGCCAAGATGGGGGACAGCTGGGTGACGCGCCCGCCATTTCCAGGGTAGAAGACGGTGGAGCCAGGATCTGAAACCAGGTCTTTGGTATCCAAGCTGCTTTAGCTACAGAAGTCTTCCCTTTCAGGATGCCTGGGTGGCTCAGTCGTTAAGCGTCTGCCTTCAGCTCAGGTCATGATCTCAGAGTCCTGGAATCATGTCCCGCATCAGGCTCCTGCTCAGTAGGGAACCTGCCTCTCCCTCTGCCCTCCCCCCTGCTTGTGTGCGTTCTCTCTCTCAAATAAATAAATCAAATCTTAAAAAAAAAAAAAAAAAAAGAAGTCTTCCTTTTCATTTATCCAAGCTTCCTAAAGCACCTGCCGCGTGCCAGGCATGGGGCTGAGGCCTGGGGCACAGAGATGGGACAGGAGGGATGGTTTCTGCAGTGGGCACTCAAGCCCCATGAGCAGGACAGACATTGACCTAAGCCATCACCCTCTCCCGGGAGAACCACGGTTTGCGACCTCCGCAGAGGGATTGGTGCTCGGCCTGCGTTGAAGGACTTCATGTGGGGAGCCCAGTGGGCAGGCTCGGGGCACCGCGAGCCGGCAGGGACAGGGGTCGTGGCTGTTTGTGCTCCAAAACGAGGGGAGAAGGAACCGAAAATTAATTAGAATGGTTATCTGAAAGGGGAGGCAGAAGAAGAGTGGGGGATGGGGCTGGAGGTTGGGCTTCTCTGACGGCGTCCTGTTCGGTAGTTTTAAGCTTGGAACCTTCCGTTTTACATCGTTATAAAACAAAACTAAATTTAAACATCTTTTTAAATCCAGAATACTTAAGATGTGAAAACATAGTAAAATGATCAAATAGTTATACATTGAGTTGGTAGCATACACAGAGAAGAATTTTTTCCAAATTATTTTATTAATTTTATTTTTTAAAAGATTTTATTCATTTATCTGAGAAAGTGAGACAGAGACAGAGAGGGAGAAGGGTCGGAGGGAGAAGCAGACTCCTACTGAGCTCGGAGCCCGATGTGGGGCTCGATTCCAGGACCCTGACATCATGACCTGAACCAAAGGCAGACGCTTAACAGAATGAGCCACCTGGGTGCCCCAGGTTTATTTCTTTTAAAGATTTTTATTTTTAAGATTTTATTTGTTTATTTGACAGAGATCACAAGTAGGCAGAGAGGCAGGCAGAGAGAGAGGAGGAAGAAGGTTCCCTGCTGAGCAGAGAGCCCGATGTGGGGCTCGATCCCAGGACCCTGGGATCATGACCTGAGCTGAAGGCAGAAGCTTTAACCCACTGAGCCACCCAGGAGCCCCTCTTTTAAAGATTTTATTTTTAAGTGAACTCTACACCTAACATGGGGCTTGAACTCATGACCCCAAGATCGAGAGCTGCATGCTCTGCTGACTGAACCAGCTGAACCCCCCCTCTGAGTTATTTTTATTTTTTATTTTTAAAATTTAATTTGTTTCTTTCCTCTCTGGGTTATCTTTAAACATGGTGATTTTACCATCACATCTAATGGGGTAGGTATGTCCTAAGGACAAGAAGGGCTGCAAAGAAATCCAAACGGTACTCAGGAATCTTGTCAGTATCTGGTCAGTACAAGTATTGTTATTTTGAAGCTGAGTGTGCACCCACGTGTGTGTGTAATTGCTACACTATGTTACTATGTTTACAGAAATAGTTAGGTTTCTGCCCTCAGTAACAATAATTTCAGGATAATAAAACAGAGATCCAAATATAAAATCAAAGAAATCTAAGTAAAAACGTTGTAATCGTAAATTCAAATTGGAAATAATCAGCGTGAGTCGATAAAGTCTTTTCTTTTTTTTTTAACATTTTATTCATTTATTTGACAGAGAGAGATCACAAATAGGCAGAGAGGCAGGCAGAGAGAGAGGAGGAAATAGGCTCTCCACGGAGCAGAGAGCCCGATGCGGGGCTCAATCCCAGGACTCTGGGATCATGACCTGAGCTGAAAGCAGAGGCTTTAACCTACTGAGCCACCCAGGCGCCCCTTATTAAAGTCTTTTCTAAGGGGCCTGTACTTTACAACCCTGTGTACTTCTCAGGCCTGGAGACAACCACAAGCAGGGGCATCAGTGGACACCTTGGGCCTGGCCAGTGGTTTCTCTCTTTCCCACATGGAGGAACCAGGGCTCCCTGGGGAGATGCGTAGTCCAGATCTGGGGCAAGGATATATAGGATGGGTCTGGGATATCGTTTTAGGCCAGAAAACAAGAAATTTACCTAAGACTACTGAAGTCATGCCCAAAAGACACAGCGGCCTTCTGGAATGGGCTCTTGGGACAAACTAAGTGCAGAAAAAAATATCAAGAGAAAGACTAAAACTCAATGGATCAAAACATACCAAATATATAGAAAATATAGGAGCTCATATGGTGCTAAAAAATGAAAGAAAACTGATTGGTCAACTTTGGAGGTCGCTAGAGGGACCATTTGTTATTCTGTAAATTGACAAATAGAGGGGAAGAAGCAAGTGTTTGTCCTGCCTTTTCTGTCCAAATTTTATCTCGGAGAAATCTCGTATTGGGTTCCGGGCTGCTGTAGATAATGACCCCAAGCGGCCTGGCTTGAAAGAACAGAAATGTATTTTTTTCCCCACAGATCCAAAAACCATAAATCCAAACTCAAGGTATTGGCAGGGCCAAGGTCTCCTCTGGTTTCTACCAGAGAGCCCTTCCCTGCTTCTGCCAACTCTGGTGTCTCCAGGAGCCTCTGCCCGAGGCTTGGCGCCTCTCATCTCTGCCTCCGGCTTCACATCACCTTCTCTTCCCTCTGTGTGTGTTCCTCTGTCTGTCTCTTACAACACTCGCCATCAGCTTTAGGGCCCACCTCATAATCCAGGACGATTTCATCTCAGAATCCTTCATTAACTTACAAAATCCTTAATGGCATCTGCAAAGATCCTTTTTTTCAGATAAGGTCACAGTCTCAGTCTCTGGGTGGATGTATCTTTTGTGGGGGTGGGGGGCACCATTCAACCCTCTACAGTTGGTGAATGAAGTTCTTCCTGGAGCCGTTCCAGCTCGTAAATTCAAAAGGAATCGTTTTGCAGCCACAGTGGAGCGGTGGACGCAGGTGATGACCCTCACCGGCTCCTAGCACCTGCAGGTGGCAGGTTGAGAAGGTCTTTGTCCAACAGATGGGCTGGGCAGGTCACCTTTGGAGATACTCAGCAGTGTTAATATCACTCCGGGTGAAATAAGCTAACATTCTGTGCTTCTTGGACTACACAGCTGTGCCAATGAAATGGGCTGCAAGGGAGATTTTTTTTTTTTTTTTTTTTTGAGCCTGATTTAATTAAGCCTGTAGCTATGAGCAGTTTCCGGAAAATGCAGGGGAAAGAAGGACAGGTGTTCACTGGGAAGACAAAGGCTCCATGAGGACTTGTCCTCCGCAGGAAACCCCACATATCGGAGAAGAGTAGTTGGCGTCTAACGGTGCTTGGGGACGATGGGCCGAAGGAAGGAATACAGACCACAGAAAAAAATTCCTAAAAAGCAGCAGGAAAAGGACTAGCAACCTATGAGAAAAATCATAAACAGGGACAAGCTGACGATTTACAGGGGAGGAAATGGGAATGCCAGTAAATGCATGAAAGCACTTGCTCTCACTAATAATTAAGGTAACGAAAATGGAAACCACAGCAAGATGCCGTCTCACACCCCCAGCCAGGCATGAGCCTCGAAAAGTCTGACAATATCAAGCACGGCTGAGGACGGGGGACCATCCTTATCATCTGCTGGCAGAATTGTCCACGGGAACCCATGCTCTGAAAGCAGCTTGGTGATATCTATTAAATGGAACACGTCATAGCCTATGACTCAGAAATCCCACTCGCAGGTACTGACCCTAGAGAAGCTTGCGTGTGTGCATCAGAAACAAAAATGTTTGCATCAGAATTACCTGTGGTTGAAATATACGGGAAACATCTTAAATGTCTGCAAATGGGATCATGTTCCATATCATCGAGGTGGTAGAGTAGTAAAGAATG